AATGATGCATTCTATATGTTTGTAATCTTTAACTGATGTTCCTGTATTATTTTATGTGTACGTCAAGTTTTGTTATTTAACAAATACTTATAGATTTAAAACAGAGTTTAAAAGTGTAATTTTAGTTCTCTCTGAAAGAACCCACTTGTGTTCATCACGTGAACCTCCTGTATTTAAGGTAACAGAACACCTTCGAAGAAAATTTTTTGAATTAACCCGAATTTTGCTTGTTAATGCATATTTTATGACCTTATGGGTCTTTAAAATCAGAAAAACACCCAAGTGTAAAGTCTTGTTAGTGCACATTTTTTCTGTGAAAGGGGTATTTTATGAAAAAATAAGCAAAAATAAGACTTTACGCAAAACATGATAACTGAAAATAAAATAAATATATTGACATTTTGTAAATTGAATAATATAGCATACAACCTTATCTACGGAATAGACACTTATTTTGGTAATATAACCATTACGTGAGAAGCTATTGTGTTTCGAGCTTCTTAACGTTGAAATTTTCTTTAAAAGCTATTGTAATTTTCACTTTATTGCTGTATAAAAAAATGTCTACTCAACATAAAATCTTAAGAGAAGTCTATTCTCTGTATTAGTATTTAAAAAACATGTATATAAAATTTTTATTTCATCCAAGCATAACTTTTTGAGATATTGTGCTTTGCGGTAAGAAAAAATGTAAAAAAACTCATTTTGAGAAAACGACAAAAATAACATTAAACTAATCTGATTACAAGAAAACACTTACTTTCTTATTAAAATGCACCAGATTTATAATTATCTCCATCTTTAACTTCTAAAACAATATTTTTTTTCTTTTTAAGGGCTCTTAAAATTTTCCTATGTTTCTTTGTTTTGGGGTCTGCGTTATGAATCGATTCACGGATTCTGCATTTATCTAAATGTTTATATCCCCGTAAGGTAAACACCCCAGGATTTTCAATATTCATCTTATTAAAAACTTTGAGGCACCCATTTAATCCCTTATTGAAATGTATAACAGCATCATACGACCCAAATTTAATTGTTTTGAGCGAAACAAATACTTCTTTCGGAACTTTTTGCCACAGTATTCCGTTAAAACACTCATTTGCATTTTGCGTGCGTCCATGTAAGCACTTACTTAATATCTGTTTGTCGCATAGTTCTAAATATACTGGTTTAATTTTATTTAAAACATCATTTGATAAACCAGCATATTTTGTGGTACATTTTGTTCCATTTGCCCCCCCCCCCCCGCTGAAAATAACACCAGCTGTCTTTCCCTATTGGGCACTGACCATGCATCGGTTTCTTATCACTTGATGCACAGTGATATAACGCAGCAATTACATTTTGCTGCATGGCATTTAAGTTACCGACATTACTGCGTACAGCAATTCCGTAGTAATTTTGAAGTCAGTCGATAAAATTATCAGTTAATTTGCCTTTACCAGACAGTCCTTTAGTTTTTGTTTTTAGCTTTCTTACACGCGAGCCCACTCTCTTTTGTACATGGCCAATGTACTCAAACTTTGTCACACTGTTCATTCCATAAGTGTCTTTCACACTCATGAAAGCTTTTGAGTCACCATCCATATAATATTGAGTGTATTGAAGTCCGCGGTTTGTTTCTGACCGAAGAAATATTCGTGAAGCCCCCACAATTTCCATTTTTGACGAAGATCCCGTAAAGTTACACTGACATGTGGTCGGCTTTTGACGACTCATATTCAGAGTTTCTTGGCATAGTCTGAAGTCTCTTACATGTAGGACGACATAACTTCTACGTCTAACACCTTACCAGTATCAACTGATATTGCAGCAACACAACCATTCATAGACGTATAGCCTCGACGCTGCCATGTGCCATCCACAGATATGCCACATTTTACAAAATCAGATGAAAAATTTTGTTTTATATCCGCAATTTCAGTAGCAGCTTTTTTCATGGATTCCTCAGCTACTTCCTGAACCACTTTTAAAAGCTTTGCTTCCTGATTTTTGAAAGCAGTTTTTGTCAGTCGAGGCAAATTTAATGTTGAGCGTAATTTAAATGCACCAGCAAAACCCTTGCCTATCTGCCGCATACCATATACTAGCCTGGTATTTATGACTGGTGCATTTACAACTTTTTTTGATGAAGCAAATGCAAAGAAAAAGTCACAGCATTCATATTTTAGTGTAAAATGAGAGCATAATCCATACATGGAATCCTCAAAAAGCTCTACTTTTTCAGCAAAACATTTTGGGCAGCAAAGTTGAGAAAATGCATCCACAATAAGCTCAAGATTAATGATTCTGTTACCAAACAGAGGACCAGGCATTTTTTCTGCAGTTGACATACTCTCATTTCTCAATTTTGAAGAACTAGCAGTGCATTCAGGAACAGGTGTTGAATTGCTGTTATTTTCAGAAATTTTTGTGTATTTATTTCCAAAAAATTGTCTCTTACGCTTTCTAGCAATACTTTTAACCATTTTCAAGCAAAAATAAAACAGAATAGAATTATTTTTTAACTTTCTACGCTGTCGATTCTTTCAGTATGAAAATCAAACATATATGTAAACAAAGTCACTAAACAACAAATTTAATGCCAGATTTTATTCATAAAAAAGGAAAAATGTATTTCCAAATACATTTATATTTATTCTCAAATATTCTATTTTAATTTCTGACAAAATATTTGTGTATTAATTTTCATATTTCATGTCATATACCATGAAAGAGAAACGTAAACAAACAATTTGGGCCACTTCCGGTTAGCAGAAAGGCATTTCCGGTCAGAGAAATTCATGATCAAGTAATATTAAAAAAGCTGTAACTTGGCTTCTAATTAAGCTAGAAACAAATTTTTACAGATTTAGAAAGATAAAAGATTGAATTTTAATATTTGATCAAAAACGAAAAATTGATATTTTGACCGAAAATTTAGTTTTAAAGGTGTTCTGTCACCTTAAAAGCCACTAAGCCTCTCTAAAATATGGTACATGAAACCAAAATACTGATTACGTTCCTTACTCATTTATAAAAAAAAGTTTGTCAATCTCTTCAGTTTGTTTATATGAATTGTTTCTAAAGAGGGCTGTTGTGCAAACCAAGTCAAAGCGACATATACAGGAACTTAAAATATTTTTTAATGATAATTCATAATTTTATAACCTTTTACACTAGCTTTAATAAATTTTTGAAATAATATATGTTTGTGACGACTCATTCTAAAAAGAGAATTTTAATTCCGTTAAAAAAAAAATACAATGTGATCTCCAGAAATATATTATTGCAACATGTGGGAGGAAATATATGCCCATACCATATTAAGACACTTGGGTTTTTTTCCTCGATTAAGGAAGAAAAAAAGTGAAATTTGTGCTACTGTATGCTTTCATAAGATTTTCCTCTATCTCTACAACAATTTATATTACCAATATCCGCCCCTTTGTTTTTCTAGAAGAACGTAACATTTCTATCTCGTGAATTGTATGCATTCCGTGTTGGTTTTAATGATGAATGTCTGGATGGAATAATTCATAAATAAAAAATTTAAGAATGACGCAATTCGGCATCATTTTTAAAAATTAACTAAAACTGAGCTCATTGATCCACAAACCCCACAAAAACAATATATATTATAAAAATTCGGAATCCGTTTGGTGGTGAAATAGTTGTAATCCAAAACTCTATCGTTACTGATCTTGGCAGAAAAATATAGCATAATCTTTAAGTAAATATTGTATTCCTTTCTTGAACGTTGTCACACGCCATGTGATAAAGTGAAAAAACTGCGTAATGGAAATAGAAAACATAATTATTATATATTTCCTGTAATTCACCTCTCTTTAATTTATGTAGCATGCAAAAATGTAATATTTTTCATGATATAAATATAATTTTTCAGAGTTAATTCCAGATGAAATTAAGCAATATGAAGCAAGTAAAATGACCTTTGAAGGGAAAAAGTGACAAAATTGTGCCAACAGCTTGATTCTCTTCATTTTGTTTCCATTTAAATATGCAGTGATGATTTGCTGAATTAACAAAAAATAAAGGAATAGGTTAGAGAGAAGTAGGATCAGAACATAATTATGATATTTATCAGAAACACAATTAAATTGGAAATCAATTTAAAAATTACCATTCTTTTAAGTTTAAATCTATTAAAAAAATGAGTACGTTAACGAATTTATTTCAAGAGTAAATAAAAATAATGAATTACATATTATTATTAATTGAAGTAACAAAACAATTTGACTGGAATTAAATAGACTTAGCTTTGACCAGATTGTTATCAAAAGCGTGAAAAGGCAATCACCTGAAACAGTCAGTTAAGCCTATTTAGCCAAGGATTACTGAAAGTGATAAAATAGGCTTAACTTTAAATAAACTATGTCAACATTTTAAAGGCAGAAAAAAAAATCGTGTAGCTAACACTAAAATTGAATTGCTGAAACACTGCTGTTTTACGATATATTTGCTTGCTTGTTTGTTTTTAATTCTTTTACGACATTTCAAAAAGAGTTTTGCAATTTTGCTAAAAAGAACACGTGCGTGGATAAATATCAGGACAAACAATTGTACTGCTGACAAAAACGCATTATTAGATTCAAGAAAAATAATTGGAAATTAATTTATAGCATTATGGAAGCTGTATGTGAAGTAATATCGTTAGAGCTAGGAAAATGAGCTACGGATATCTCCAAAATTTAATTTAAAAATAACAATATTTAAAAAAGATTAAGTCAATTCCTACTTAGGTCAACAAAGAAATTTTTTATTTTAGTTACTTTTTTTATTAAATAGTTACAATTAATATAAATATCTATATGCATATGATAGAATCCCAATATTAAGTGACAAAAAAGAAAGCGATTTTCCTTGCAAATTTTCATTTTCCTTTTTATACAGTGTGTTGTATTTTTGTTTGTTTGTTAATTTTTATTCATCATTAAGATTTAATTATTCTAGTACACATAGTAAAAAAAAAGAAATCACATTCTCAGAAATTAGGCCATCCCAGGTGGTCTTCGAACCCACGACCTTTGGATTACAAGTCTAACGCGCTATTCGTCGCGCTACAGGGACACAACGAACGATTTTCCTTTCTATATATGCTATTGGGATGTTGTTTTTGTTACTATTTATTCATTTTTTATTTAATTAATGGATTAATATTTGAAAAAACTGTATTAACATCAAGTGTCATCCATATATATATATATATATATATATAGGGAAACAGTAAACTTATAGTATATAGTAGGAATTGAAAGAAAAAATTTTAAAGCAGATTTTGAAACAAATTCTGTTTTACTCACTATCTACTATTATTTCATACAAATTAAGCATAATAAATTTCACATGTCTAGATTTTTCGGTTTTTGTGCTGCATTGAATGTGAGTGCAAAAACATATATTCATTAGCATAAATTGAAAGATATTAAGCTACATTGAATCATTGTTTCTGTAAGTGAAATAAGTTGACAAATTAATACGTATATTAGTTATAAAACATATATTATGAAATATGGATTCTGAACTCGTTCTTGACAAATGAAAGCGCTTCTCTTATCATACTTGCTGTGAGAAATTAACTGCAGCTTCAATTCCATTGATGGATTGGAGACGAATAATTCCCTTTCAGCATCAATCAAAGTCACAGGTTGGGCCTTTAATCGTTATCGCAGATAAGGACTCCTAATACCACGGCATCACAGAAATATTGGTTATTATCGTTCAAATCATACCCGTATCCTCAAGAGTAGTTTATCGTATAAAGTTTAATATCTAACCGAAATCAGTATTCCATTATTAGTACTTTTATGCAAGAAAATAAATTCAGTTTATATATTCAGAAATGTATTTTCAATCCGGAGGAAAAGAAATATTTTCCCCTTGTAACTACGTTTATTAATTGAACCAACCGCGCTTATTTTTTATCTTTTATTAAATCAATAACAGTTAATAATTAAAGACATTAGTCAAAAATAAATAAGCTAGGATATTCTTTTTTAAATATAAGAATTATAGTTTAAGTTTTCTGACGAGAAAAAAGAAGTAAACAAGATACCAGTCATTGGCATAGCCAAGTAATTTTAGCGCGTTTTTCACATGTATTTTACAATAGGAAAATTCGGGAAAACTATGGGAAAATTTAAATATGATTCGGCTCGTCTAGGGCACAAATGCGATCCAATGCCAAAAACCCGAAGTCAATTGGTTGCTTATTGGCTGAGAAAAAGGTACGACAAAATATGGAATGTGAAGACGGAATTTGCGTTCTAATAGCGCTTTTGTTCCACTACGTGAAAAACGCGCTAAAAACTTGCTGAAGATATGGTTAAGTTCCATATTACGCGAATAACAGTTTTTTTTTAAAAAATATTTTAAATTTCTAATGGCAAGATCACAAAGAGCATTGCAGTGAGTGCTACCCGAAGCCACGTAATTCTAAAAGAGTAACATTCAACATAAAAATGAGACACTTGCCACATTTCAAGAAATACATTTCCGGATGTCTCTTGTATCTTTTGAATAACGGTAAATTTTTTTCGGACAGTCTATTGTTTGCTGATTAAGTTCTTTTTTGGGGGGCTATGTGAAGGTCTTTTAAATTTGCAGAATGTGAAGGAGGTCTATAATTTTTTTAGAGGAGTCGATCATCAAATAATCTTAAAAGGTGTCTCTGGTTTCACAGCTTGTATAGCATATTGCATCATTTTAGGGCCCTTTAAACTGACTGTAAGGTATTTTTGAAGAACTATATCCTCCTCTTTTCCATAGAAGAATATATCTAAAAATAATATTTGTAGTGGTTCTCAACGTAGTAAATGTACTTTATGAACAGGCAATTAAATAGTGTATTGCAGCGTTTCTCAAACGCTGGGGTGCACCCCCAAGGGGGCATGACAATCCTAGAAAAAGGGCACGAGTGTATCGAAATGCCGAAAACAAAAGATTATTTTAAAAATATATATTAATTTACTGAAAGGAAGCCAAACAAAATTAAATCCGACATAATAAAAAATACACATTTACACTGATATAATACCCTTACAAAATGTATCAGTACTGCACAATGTACTTCATAATTAATTTAACAGTACTAAGTTAAGAACAAGCTTGAAAATTACCAGTGACCCTATGGGCATGTCATAAAATTATGTACAAAATTTAATACTTATCTTGAGAGTTTGTTCATTTTATAAGTAGAGTCGTATCGTATATATCGTTTTACGTTAAAGTGTATTATTATTGAATTCAATGCATTTTTATTGTATGGGGAAGGGAGGGCACGATGAAAATTATGACTGAAAAATGGGTCGAAAGTCTAGAAAGTTTCAGAGAAGCACTGATGTATTATATTTTCATTAAAATACTTACCCTAAAACTGATGTATTGTACTCATTAACAACTTTAATTCATACTCCACGTATCACTCACCCTTACATTATATTAACGCAGGATCACTCGCATCTTTTTTTTTCTGATGCCGAGTCATCGTTCTTTCAAACTGATGATACCATCTACGAATGTTATTATCGTTTGGTGGTTGGCAAACTAAACTTAATGCGAAACGCTCATTGCACAGTGATAGCAGATTCTGTCTTTGCAAACTGGAGAACATAAGACGCTTTCTCTTCAATAGTCACCATTTTCTACTAGCACGTTGATCGGTAGGGAAGAAGGAACAATTAACATACGTTTCGTGCGCTTGCGCACACAAGCCGGCAAACGAAAATGATGCTCTTTCATTCGATGTATGATTAATACTTATAAGTAATATGTATTAAACATACAAAAAGGGTTAAAACTCCGATATTCATTTAGAAACACCCTGTATTTAATGATTAGAATGTGCTTGTATTGTTTCGCACAAACTATTGATCACTGATTCTGTTGAACTATCTGCCGTAGCATTTCATATTAGGTGTTTAAAGTGCTTCCATTTTTCGTTATTTATGCAAAATGCTTTGAAAAAGTTTTTTCTTTTAAATTTCTCAATTCCCGAATGAGTAATTGAGAGTAAAATTTTTTTAAAAATTATATTTACAGTCTAAAGCAACACGAGGGCTGTTGAAGATTGAACTCGTGCACTCATGATAGCAATGAGTTCGCGTGTGTAGATGGATGCGGTTTTGTCCTACTTGAATTTGATGGCATTAATGCTCTCTGTTTGGATAAATAAAGAAGACACCTGCTCCTCCTCTATCGAGATTTGAGTCGGATGAGCCGTCAGTGAGTGAGTCAGTGAATATTAACGTCGCGCTGTTCAGCTACACGAGGGCTTTTGGGGACGGTCCGCGTAATTTTGAACCATGGTCAAGTGACTCGGACGACACCTGAGTCATTTGCCGCTTAATTACGAATAGTCTAGCTAAATTAATTCTCGCAAAAAAGGGTATTAGACGAAAAACACAAAAAAGAAATTTTAAACCCGTAATTTTTCAGAATATTTTCAGAGTGCTTTCAGTGATTACATTTTATATTTCTCTCTATATCCGGCATAAAAATTTTGATTGATCTTTTATCTTTTTCTCTTAAGTCTTCTTTTAATTGAAATAAATTTATTATTGTAATGAAACATTATCTTTATCAGATTACTAAAATAACTTTCATAGAACTATTATATATATTATATACTCGATCAGCTGGCCACGCGTTGCTGTGGCTTTGTTTTAATACGTTAGTAAAATATTATTCTAAGCTATTCAGTGCAGTCAAATTAATCTTCGTTTATAATTTTGGAGGGTTGGAATAAAGTATAAAAAAACAAATTATTTTAATTTTGCATTTCATTCATCTGTTATTTGTGTGTAGTATAATGCAAGGATTACTAATGAAGTCGTTACGTAACAACATATCAAAATTTAATTTTATAAATGTGGTAGATATCGTTGATTCTTTGCAATTTTTAAAATTATTTTTCCTATTTTAAAGTGTAACAACCAATAATTTTATGCAGCTAATAGGTGCACAATATTTTTCGGTACTCCGTATTTTGCTAACTAAAATAAATCCAACGGTTTCCGCACACGTGAGCATGTAACATCTTTTTGCCAATTCGAGAAACATGGATTTTCTAAGTCCAAGTATCAAATGAATATTGTTCATGTTTCAAAATCATTTATGGTCATCGCAAAAGCCAAAAGAATCGGGAATTAAAGCCTTTTGAATGGTATTAGGGATTCTGACGGTATCAGTGGAATACGTGGCAACAGATTCCGTAGTAGCAGAACCGAATTTTTGTTTAAACTTTACAGTCAAAATGTATGTTTCAAGAATTTCCCGGTATAATTCTTCTGATGATCAAACGTGCACCGTTGCATTATCAAGGTGAACTTAAGTGACGCTGATAATAACCAGGGAACCAACCGAAGATTGTGTGGTGACATTCCTGATACATCCAGAGAATTCAAGTACTTGGTTGGAAAGTTTACGGTTCTTTTTTCCCCCATCAACAATAGTATTGATTGGTTTAAAGGGCGTTGGATCAACTGGCAACAATCCTGTGTTTCATAGTATATTGCTTCACAATATCAACAGATTTTCTGATTAAGTAACTGGATTACAGAGGTAATAATTATCTAATAATACAATAAATCCGAAAGATTCTCTCAATTAGTACCTTTTTGCCTAAAAAACATTAAAGAAATCGTCTGGTTATTTCATACATTTTCTATTGGGATGAAGTTCTACTTCACTTTTTCCAATATTCAGTAGTTGGTTAAGAAATATTTGCTCAGACTGATCATCTTGCAAATAAACTCGCGTGTTTATGGTCAATCAAAGTTTTTCCACGTTTCGCCATAAAAACGATTGTTTTAAACAGGCGTTAACCTCGTGAGCAAAAGTGGAGCGTGGAATGGCTGATAATGTCTGTCGGAAATCACTAGACAGTAATACAACAGCAAAACCGAATATTCTCTCTTTGCTATTTAAATCTTGCAAAGTTCTATGTAATGCTTTCAGTGAATGTTTATAGGTCATGATTAAATTCATTGGCAATACTGTAGCCAATCCACTCTTTTTTTCAATGGTACACATTCCATCTTGTATTTTATGAATTTTCAATGGTAGCTGAT